TGAGGAGGATTGGTACAGCGCCTTGTCAAGGATGTGTACTGGGTGGAGGAGTCGTGTGATATTTGAGATGCAAGGTCCAATTGACCTTAGCTGTCTCTCCATTCACAAATCTGAACTTAGTAAAACGCTGGATTGTGCTAGCTGCCCATGGATCTGGTACATCTGTTGTCCAGGACCGCATAGGTCGAATTGTGCTGAGGGTTGGCTTTGTTGCCAAAAGGCTCTGCTTTGTTGCGACGGAAAATTGTATTCTGAAACTGTATCGTCTTGGATCAGCTTCTCGTGGATGGCTTCTTTCTCATGCTGCTGAAACGCATCATGGAATGCAATTAATGCTTGTCCTGTGCTGGATGTCTCTAAGATGAGCGCCAGCCTGATTCACTTCAATTCTATGATGCATCCCAATCTTGGTCTGTCCAACCGCCATATGTAGGCTCTGTGGAGGTGCAATCTGCGATTGCCGGACTGCTCCTCCAAATTCTCTTCATTGGCTGCGAACGGTGTTTCCATCATAGGGATACTGGAATTACGATTCTACTTCTTCCCTTTCTTTCCTTTACCATTTCCCCAATACGCCTGGCGTAGGGATCCTGATTTTCATTTGCCATATTGGCCTTCCCGCCGGAGCCACTGTTTGAAGCCACCTCGTTGGTGACTCCCCTTTTGCTTCCTGATTTTCCTTTTCCGCTTCTCTTCTTGGATCTGACATATCACCCAGTGCAATGAACGCATCATTCTCCTCCAAAACCCAAAGAGTCTCTTCATCATTGGTTGCCATGAATCCTTCCAGTCCTTCTTCATCTGCCACCCAGAAACCTTCTTCACCTTCATACTCCCCTTGTTCTAGGATGTAGAAGGTATTACTCCGATTTCCTCCAGAAAATCGGATAGATGAGTCTTGGATGGATGTTCTTGTCGTAATGAAGAGATCATGATGCTGTGTCTTCATCATCTCATAGGTGTAATTCTCGAGCGAGATGTTTTTCAAAGACATTGCGCTGATCAGTCTTTCTCTCTGCTGATCTGACAACTCACTCTGGATGATGAAAAATTGCGCAATGAGATTGTCTCTGAGGGGAAATGCGTCCTCGTGTCTTGTCTGCGTGCCGTTGAGGTACTGCCTGAGTACTTCTGGATTTTCTGTGGACAGCAGATCTGGAGGCGTGGCTCTGACATTGGCTGCTTGCTGATGCGCGGCCATTCTTCTTGCAGAACTCTGGTGACTGTGCCGTGTGAACAGGCATCAAGTGAACAGGCATCAAGTCAATCCAGGATTTCAAATTTTGCGGTGATTCTGAGGAACTCGGCGTTCTGCCTTCTGTGATTGAAGAAACTGAGAAGGCTGTATAAGTACACCTTCGTGGGGCCTTTGAGGAAGAACTTCTTCAGCGTGTTCTTGAAATAGTTGACCCCTTCTTCAGGATCTTGCAAAAGGTCATTCTTGAAGAATGCGTCTCCGATGAGCCTGCTCTTGAGGAGTGGTTTTTCTTTGGATGCCTTGATGGTGGTGAAGGTCACCCAATCATGTACGAGTTCTTCATATCTAAGCCGGCTGCCTTTTCCGTCGTACGATGGCGGCTGCTTGGCGGTCATCGATAAGTTGAGCGTCTCTAATGTTCACGCGAACCAGTTCACGTGGGTGGGTGGATGGTAATGCGGGGCGCTTCGACGTTCACGCGCACCAACTCATGCGGGTGGGTGGATGGACGGCGCGTTTCGGTGGGTGGAACGCGGGGTCAGGGGGGATGGGGGGGGCGGTTACGCTTTGAATTATACACCTGAACATTGCCTTGCGCACGGTGGTTTCCTTGTGTCTTTTAAGGCGCCCGATGTTCAGGTGGATGGTAAGCGTCGGTGGGGCGCGGGGCAGGGAGGGGGGATGGGAGGGGGGTGGTAACCAACATTCGGGTGAAAGTGTCGGTGGGACGCAGCCTCACCCGATGACAAAAGCCCCAATACGTGCGTCCACCTCCTAACGTACGACTCCCACGTTGAAGTCAACACGACCTGTCTCAGGACTCGGGCAGCTTTCATCTCCGTGATCGAGTCGAGAAGCTTGAGCATTTGTCCTGGTGACCCGGCGCTCAATGCCTTGGGGGTGTTTGAGAACTGCCATCGGTCATCCCGCTCTCCTTCTACGCCGGAGTAGGGGGGGATGGGGGGGACGCGCGGGTGGGTGGATGGTCCGTGTTGGTGGGATGGGGCGTGGGGTGCGGGGGGATGGGGGGGGGGGGGTGGGAAGTAAGCGTCGGTGACCAACACAAGGGTGAGTGGATGGGCAGCGTCGATAGGACGCGGATGGGGGGCGGTAAGCTTCAGTGTTCATGCGAGCCAACTCGCGCGGGTGAGTGGATGGTAAGCGTCGGTGGGACGTGTGGGGGGGGGAGGGGGGGGAGGGGGGAGGGTGGTAAGCTTCGACGCTCACGCAAACCAACTCGGGTGGATGGTTGGCGTCAGTGGGACGCGGGGTGGGGGGGAAAGGGGGGGGGGGGGGGCGGATTGGTATAAGTCGACGTTCGCGCGCACCGCCCGAAAAGATAGCCAAGGTCATTCGACTAATCTATCTGAATCATTGCTGGAATCATGCGATGTTTGTAAGAGCGGTCGCGCTGCGAACCTTAGTAATTTCAATCCAACTCGAACACACTTCCGGCTTCTGGTGTGTGGAAAAACCCAAGCAAAACAACTTTTGCTAGCACGTGCACGGATGACCAGGCCGATTTGCAGTAATTACCATGAATTCTGAACATGACACTTGGACACGTGCGCCGGTGACCGCCCGACCACGTGCACAGATGACCCCCCTTCAAGCATGAGGCTATCATGATGTACATTGGCAAGGCGTCATGACGACGGCGAGGAGGGTGGCTCAAATACGGCGTTCATCATCATCACCGTCATTGGCAGGACTTCTGGTGATGATGATGATGGTTATGACCATGACCGGCCCAGCATTGCGAGCGAAGTCTAACACCACCTCCGAAACCCACACAAGACAAACGATGATGCTCGACAATGATGAGGAGGATGACGATGATGATCAGAATAATCATCAGCGGTTGGGAATGAAACGCCCGAACACTTGGGTTGGACAACTCGGCGCATGGTTGATCTACCAGAAAGTGCTGATCTGGGCTTCAGCAAACAGCAAAGCCTTCCTGCAAATAGGCCTCCGAAAGGCAATGGCCTTCATCAACACAAACTGTTGCCTCCCCCGCCCCGGAAGGACAAGATCACCCCTACGGGAAGACAACACTGAAAAAGGGAGTTGGCGCCATGAGCATTCAAAGCTCAGCCCGAAGAAGATCACTGATTGAGGGGCAGCGATACCTTTTCGTATCGCATGTTAGGAGATCCTACTCTCGAAAAAAATCTGTTCTAGCCATTGCCCGTTTTCATGGCCACACGGTCGCAGCGCTGCGGCTTCACGTGTCTCACAAGAGTGGCCTCCTACAAGGCGGTTTTTCAATGACACTAGCGCGTCAACTTGGCTCTGCATCATGCGGCCAGTCTGCTTCAACACCACCTCCTATGAAGTTTCAGTACTCTGCTTGAACAACCCTGCACCCGCTTTGCAATTCAGGAGGACGATTCACGTTTTGAAAGAAACATTTAATGAGGACAGGGTTCTAATAGAAATCTAGCTTTAACTTCACGAATGCCCTTCTGCATAAACACCCCCCTCGATATGCGGGACAGAGTGCGGGACAAAGTGCGGGACAAAGCGCCGGACAAAGTGCGGGTTCCAAGTGGTTTCCGAGTGGTCTTGGCGGCCCTCAAAGCTGTCCGGAGGGTTGTTCGGGGGTTTGTCCGGGGGTTTGTCCCGGGCTTTTGGCCCCTCAAAGCTGTCCGGAGGGTTGTCCGGGGTTGTCCTTCCGATTGTGCGCCCGTTGTTAAGCCCGTTTGGACCCGAAATGTGAAAACAGGTGTTTATGCACAACCGCCTCTGTCAAGCTTTAACTAGAACTCATATATGAAACCCTTGCTTATGGTTTAACTTGAACTCTTCTTTCAACTCATGTTTTTGAAAGGTGTATCCTTTCCTAGGATGACTTGCTCAATCTTTTCCCTATGACAAGTAAAAATCTATTGAAGGACAAAGTTTGAGTAGAACTGGCGGGCGCATCGCCCTAGTACACTTTCTGGTTTCAGTTAGAATTTCTATTTGGTGCTTCTGTTGAAAGAGGCGTTCGGGTAGAGTTTAATTGGGCAGGTTCTGCCTGGCCTGCCAAGCAGACCACAAAGAGCGGCTGGCCGCCAGAAAGGAATAATCAAGGCCTCGCTCCTTTGGAAGGGTGGGAAAGCTGCAGCTACTGCAACTTGACCCTCAACCCGCAGTGCTGGTGGGCAGCTTTGACCACTGCACACAGGCAATGCTCGCCTTTGTGGGCTGAGGCTTCCCAAGCACTGGAGGAAGCAGAAGCTACAGAAGGCGGCGAGACTATGCCAGCAAGCGCCGCGTAGCACACATAGAATCCAGACAGTCGCAAAAGCAAGGCAGTAGCGTTGTAAAAGGGCATCAGCATGGAGAAAGACGTGTGACAAAGGCTACGGCAACCGCGATGATTCTGAGGTCAGGGGCAGTAAACTGGCTCTCAGTGTTGTAAGAAAAGTAACACATACTTATCCGATCTGGAGTAATCCGCTCGAGCAAGAAAGGACCTCGATCTACCTCCCGTTACCTGGGGCGATTCGGTCTCGGGCCAAGTCAGGGGCTTCGAGCAAGGTTGGAGTTCAAGTTCGTGCGGGGTACCCTATGGTGTCCCAAGCCTTTTTTGTGAAACCGGCGTGTTGGACAGATTAGTTCCGTAAATCGAGCAACTAAACAGCACAAAGCAGAAAGGGGTCACAGTAGTTGGAGGCAATCTGCCTGACTGCTGTTGTCATCGTGGCAACTGTTTCCTTTGGGTGGCACAGCCGTCCAAAAATGGACTTTCCCACTTTGCGGCACGCCTTAAACAAATCTGAAAATTGAAGCAAATCAAAACAAGACCCGGCTCCTTCCTGGAAGCCACGTGGGCGAATCCTGGTGAGCAAGTTGCGCTTCAAGTGAATAAGAGGCTGTGTCTCAACGGCGCTGGCTTGAATCCATGGACATGACAGTTTGGGACATAGAGTATCTGCAGAGATAATGACAGGCATCACGCGGGCACATGAGCTCTGGCTGGGTTGCTGTAAACACATGCCAAGCTAGCAAAAACTCACCATGTCGCCTAGTTCTCAGGAGCGCTACGCAAAACGACGATGCTTGATGGCACACTCCCGACAGCGTACGCACGTTGCGCGGCGCGCAACGTGCCAGCCTGGCTCGACATCTGCTGGTTTACCGCTGACAGCACCTGCGAGGCTAGGACGCCAAGGCAATGCGCCCAGGAATTGGCGTTTTCTTTTGAAAGTGATCTTTCCACCTGGGTTTAAAGGGCGCCCGGCACAAAAGCATGAAAGCCCCTTTCTGACACACCCTCTTGACGTGTCGGAAAATTAGCACTGTTCGTTGCAATTAGCCCCACGTGCTGCAAAGCTGACAGGCAGTGGAAGCAGCAGACGGCGACACCAACCATGAATCATTGAGGCGGGCATGTGTCAAAAAGTCATATTGTCTCGCTTTTCGCCATAGGCCCGGGACGGTCCCTTGATTGTCGTTTCTCCGCAGTGAGGTTCAAGCGATGAGCTCAAAAACTTCACACACCAACCCGGAGAGGGTTTGCACCAAAAGCCAAACAGGCTGGGCCGCGATACTCCAACATGGCTTCCTATCTCACAGGACCACGGACAATACCCAGCGCAAGGAATGGTCAGGCACAAACGCTTCAGGTTAAAGTTTGTCTTGACATGCCCAAAAAACGCCTCGGCGTTGTGGTCCAAATCTGCTGCGAGGCTCTGCAGTTGGAGCACCTGCGAGCCCGACTTGAATGTTTCTTCAACAGCAAGTTGCGGAAAACCTGCGCGACCTCGGATCACTCACTTTGCTTCCCACAGAGTCGCGTTCTTTGACAAGCCCGCTATTGCTTTGACAGAACAACTTCCAACCCTATACTCAAATTTCCTCACAGCCTGGAGCGCCCGCTGTCGCAAACTTGTGTTACGTAAGGCTTGTGTTTGAGCCATACTTTTCTGCTCGATGCTTTGAAAAGCACGCGGTCCTTGGAAACAGGGCGTTCGTTTGTTCTTCAATCTGTCGGAAGGCGAGCAACTGCTAAGTTTGCTGTTCCAATTCGAGCTCGTTTGCGGATAGTTGACTTGTTTTGCGGACGAGTGCGCCCGGCTTGCGCTTTGAATTTCTGCGCGCTTTTTTCAGCGACCGATGATCTTGGGGGACTGATCAGGTCGGTTTTGGGAAACGCTTGAAGCAGGAAAAGCGCATGTTTGGTGACGACCCTGGGTTTTGCACTGCGCTTGACCACTAAGTGACACAGGATGCTCCAGGAGCTAGTGAAAATCCAAAACTGCGGCCCGCAATCTGTTTCCCAGCCAGAATCTGATCTGATGCTTGACACCGCGCGAGAACCCCTGGACAATACAATGTGTGAATAACTGCTGAGAGCAATTGCAGAGGCCCTCTTCCATGGCGAGTCGGAACTCTATTCGTGGAAAAGGGGGCCTTTGCGCCATAATGTGTACGTGACACAACTGATTCCCTAAAGGTCAGTAGTCTGCAAAACATGCAAAACGAAGAACAAAACAGATACATTTCGTTACAGATGCGCATTTCGTTTGACATTGGGTGCCAAATTAGGATCTCAAGCCTCTTGCCTCTTGCTGCGCCGTAGCCATTGTGAAACACTTAGATCGATGTCGCTCGTAACGGTCACTCGTTTTTTGCGACTCGGACATGTCGGACTGGGCGTCTACAAGGTTTGTACAAATTTTGCGCGTGACTTGAAAAGGCTGGGACCGATGCGTCCTGTGAAACTATCGACTCGTTCACTTCAGGAAAGACATCCTTGTAGGCGGTGAAGTTGACATCGCAGATTGAATAGTCTTGTCGATTGGTCATCGGGTATTACGAATAGGAACATCATAGCCTGAGGAAGCTGGTCATGGCTCTCCAAGGAATGTCCTTCGTGCCAATTCTTGCTGTAGTCTTTGCGCCCAGGGGGAAATCCTTCCAGTCCTTCATGCGCTGGTTGTTGACATTCTTGGTCTCACTTTTGCTCTTCATGCGCACCATGAGAGGGGCAGGCCAGTCGCTGTTGGTCCCTGCGTTCATGAGCATCTCGTTTGTGCTGCGAATGAACCGTTCTGCAGAAGATACTTGGTAGTCGCTGGTGGTCATGCTTGGGTCATTTTCGAACGCCCTCTTATGACCCTCATCAAAGGCGTCTTCTTCTTGTGCCCGGCATTGCTTCCGTTTCCCTGTCTTGCGGCTGCTGAGGATGAAGCTCACCATGCAATCAGGAAAGGCCTGCCATATGATGAAGAGCATTGCGGGCAATGTTGCGGAGACTCGCCGATGAGTCGTGGGACACATCCACCCCGTCGATCTTGCCCATGTTGCGGAAGCCGTTCCAGCAATCTTGCAATTGCTGTCCGTAGTCCAAGATCCGGACGATAGGCCTGCTGGTTCTTGCTCTGTGTGTTGGCACTCTTGTCGCCGTCTCCTGTAAGTGGGTCGCACCGACACTCACGGACTAGTGGTAGGACATGTAGGTTTCGCTCTTCCTCAACTGCACCCATTTGCCCTTCGTGCAAGGGATAAATGTGGAACACTCCAACTGTCACATCTGGAAACCCTGCTCGGTGGACGTGTCGCTCATCAACCTCATCTTTGGGCGGAAAAGTCTTTGGCAATCGAACTCTCGTTTTGGAAGTCGTTCTTCTGGTCGATGGTGATGGCGATAATCTCTCCATTGGCTCCGTTCTTGAGAAAGCAGTTCAACACCGACCATCCTGTGTAATAGGTCAGGCAGCAAGCGCGCCGAACTCAACCAAACTTGCAACACACAGAACCAAGGGCCGACCAACCCTGCTAAGGCAACACAACACAACCAAGGCAACCAAATCACACGTGTGAGTGCCAAAATATCCCTAGTGAGGTTGAGACCACGACCCAACGTTCTCGCCTGCAAGCGCAACTCAACCCCGACCACGCACAACATCCCCTGACTCACCTTAAGGGGGAATCAATGGGCAAGGGGCTGCCTGCAAGCGATGAAACATACTCTGAGGGCCGGCTCGGACATGCACCTGCGGGGACACAAGAGAGCAACACAAGACCTTCACAACCGAACGACTTGTGAAGCCATGACCCAGCACCGGCATCTTCCACACTGACAACACGCTTCTAGAAAGGCCCTTCATGTACGGACCTGCGCGCGCCAAGCAAGCTGACACCGCCTTGAGGCACTCTGGATCCTCAGGAAGCTGAGAGAGTGCCCATCAGTTTTTCTGAGCTGAGATCCCGTGCCACCATCAAAGGGAAAAGCACCATGAATTATAGGCATCAGTCCTCGCTGGCGCTGAGGAGACTGTTGTTCGCCTGCGCTGATGTTGGGCTGGCTTGGTAACCCTGTGAAAGTACGAACCGTTTGTAATGTAAGGCGCGCAGAACAAACGCGTTTTGGAAGTGGTAGGGAAATTTGCCAGGGCTCGCCTCGGTTGCCTACTATGGTTTGCCTGAGCGTTAGCAGCTTCCCAAACACCCCCGGAATATGGGTCCTTCGTCTGCGGGCAGGGGCACCCCTTGCACAAAACAGGGAGCGAAGTCAAATTGGGGAGCGCACGTGGTTCGCCTAATTTGGGGCCGTGAAACTTTTTGGGGGTTGGTCCAGGGGCCTAGCCACCAACTCTTCCTTCCTCCTGCGCCGCACACGGGGCGTTCGCGCGGCAACGCTCAAAAAAAAGGCGGCCCTTCGTCTGTTTGTGGCCGTAGGTGGACGGTGGGAAGAGCTGCCTGACTCGGCGCCAGAGCCCCGGCACTCCGAAACAACGAGCTGCTCCAGCTGTAAAACCACTGTGTGCCACGCCGAGCTTTCATAATATGGTTCCAATGCTGCTGCGTCACCCTCCAGTAGGGGCCCTGCCGTTTCCCAGCGCCAACTTTCAAATCACCACACTTGCGCGAAGCTTAGTCTTGTCGCTGCACTCGTCCCAACAGAAGGCCACGCTCTGCTCATGCGAAACGCGCAAGTCCAGCGAGCATGGAGTTCAGTGCTTGGAGCAAGCCCCTTCAGCGCTAATCCTTTGCCCCGCCCTCCTCACACAAGGCACTCGTCGAGTTCAAACTGACTTCGTCTGGCCTGCCGCCACAAGACCACCATGTTCCAGGGCTGCTTTCGTGTGGGGGGGTGTTAGTGTCTTTCAAAGCTTTTCAAGCTTCCTCGGGCACCGGGTGAAGGCGTCACGCCTGATATCTTCCCACAACGGCGTCAACAACCGTCGTGAAGTGGAGGAGCAACCAAGACGTTCAAGAACGGGCATCCCTCATCAAAAGCAGCATCTGAGAAAATTGAACTTCTCTGCATCTTTTCGGGAAAGCAGTTGCTTGAGGATGCAGGTGGGCAGCAAGATGGTTTGCTGATCTGATGTGGCTGCGACCATGAAAGTGTGCTTTGGGACTGTTCTGCCCGGTCCGTGAGCGCGGACGACGTAGCAGTTCTCCAGGGTGACTGCCACAATAATGGCCGCGTTTCTGTTCGCCGGAATATGTTTCAAGTGCTGCTGCGCAAGCTCCCTGTGGTTGGCGGCGTGGATCATGAAGGACATCTTTTTCTCGTTCCTGATGGCAGTCCGTATCCGTCGCCCTCACGCTGGTCGTGATCGGTGCTCTGGAACTGCTGATGGACCGGTCTCAACCTCCGTGTTGCTGTGGAAATCAAAGTTGCGACCGCCTGGCCTGAGTGCGGCGCGCGCTTCCTGGCGCCATAGTACGCCAGCCTATCTGGCCTTCGAAGCGAGGGGGCAATGTCATGAGCAATAGTTGCCCAGGTAGGTCGATGTGCATTGATCAGCTGATGCAATTCTGCTGGGCCGTCATGGGTGGCCTGAACACTTGGACAATCCTGATCTCGGTCTCGCGCCTGATCCTGCTGATGGCGTAGTGCTCCTGAAAACAATTTGCTGACTCGTCCGACTCGCCAAAGCACCAATGATTGGACACCCAGGACGCATTCGTCGGGAAAACCAAAGCAACGGCATATGCGCTGAACATTGCGGGTTGTCTTCCTCATGTCAATTTGATGGTTGTGACACAATATGGGAAAGATATCAACACCGTAATCAGCTGGCTGCTCATCGATGTAACAGCACATGCTGTACAACCGCTGGGTGAGGGTGTGCCCTGTCGTTGCGAACCAAACATGACTGAAAAGTAGTAGAGCTTCTTGTGCGGCGCTCTCTCATGTTCTGGAACGTGAACGAGGTCTGCGTCCATCCTGCGGACGTTCTGGCACTCAACGTAGCACTCCTTGGCAAGCTGGCCGAAGTGCTGCATTGTTCGACAGCGAAATCATATTCTGCGGCCTCCTGGTTGATGACTCGCCTTTGGCTGCTGGGTTTCTCTGCAAAGGCGGTCGTTTATGCTGAGGAGGACCAATCGCTGATCCGGAGTCTTCCTCTGCGAGCTTATGAGTTATAAAAGCGGCACGCCGTTGTCGCAAGGTTGTGCACACAGTCGTGAAAGTCAAATGCTGCGAGTAGTCAAGTGACTGCGGTCGCAAACACAAGTTGCTTGAGTTACACACATGGTCGGGCATGTCAGCACTGATGGAACACAAGCCCCAGGAAAAAAACCTCATGCGCTGAAGTCGGCGGCATGATGCGCTCATGCCCGTGCGAAGGCAATGATGTCGGGACCATGCGCTGCGTCGCGCGCTAACCATTCAACAAGAAACGACTTCTGCAACATTGTACGCAAAGGTGAGTGCAGATTTACCCTTAGATGGTTGCCGGTGAGGCCTTGATCAACTCATCTGCTTTAGCTGGGCGCTTCGTCAAAGGAGTCAGCGAGGCAATCTTCATGCGCATGTTTGTGCATCTGTCCGCTGTTGCCTTCCTTCCGCAACATGTGTAAAGTGCATTGTCGCTGCCTGTTCAGGCTGATGTGTTATGAATGGTTGGTTGCCCTAACGCATCCTATTGCAACAATGAGGATAAGACATCGCAGAGAGCTTGTGCTACCTTTCTTGCTGAAGAACGAGATCTTGACAAAGGATCTCTTTGGTCAACTACCAGACACATAAGATCACCGCAGCCACAATGTCAACAGCTGCTGCTGAACCTCACGGACTTATAAGGCGCTTGGTTCATCTCCGTTTCTTCATTGTCCGGGGTCAGAAATTACAAGTGACATTGCAGAAGAAGTTGCTAGAAATCGCACACTAGTATTAAGATTGCCGCTGGGAGGTAGAGATTGGAAACATCAAAATACTTATTTAGCGAATATTAGCAAATGAAATAGTGAATGGGAATAGTAAATTAAGACAATTGCGAATGGAAATGCTAAAAGGGAATAGTGAATGGACATAAGCCTACATGGCGAGGTGACTACGTCCAGGTGTGTTGTGCTAAAGCTTAGGCCCTTAGGCTTAGCAAAGCAAAGCGAAACAATGTTTATATGCTAAAGGGAAGCCCTCGACTCGATTGGCCCCAAGTCTGCCCAACGCAGCGCCCGCAATTTCCATAAGTGCCAACTCACTAATTTTCACTAATTCCATTCACTATTTTGTTCACTAATTGTTTGCGCAAGATTGCAGTCTTTTCAATAGGAAAAAGAAAAATCACTAACCTGCATTACATTTCACTAAATTTCACTAAATTTCATTAAATTTCACTAAATTTCACTAAATTTCGCAAGTCCAATTTTGTGAAAATTAGTGAAATTTAGTGAAATTTAGTGAAACTCATCGACATTTTGATATTCAATGAAATTTTAGAACGAGATTCACTAAAGTTCACTAAATTTCACTAAATTTCGGAAGTCCAATTTAGTGAAAATTAGTGAAATTTAGTGAATCTCTTTCTGAAGTTTCATTGAATTTCATCAATTTCGTTAAATTTTACTAAAAGTCATTAAATTTCATTAAATTTTGTTAAATTTCATTAAATTTCATTAAATTTCACAAAATTTCACAAAGCTTCATTAATGTGATTGAGCGAAAATTAGTGAAATTTAGTGAATTGAAATAGTGAAATCTAATGAATTTTAGGTTCAATTTGCACAAATCGGCAAACTGTTGCTATTCAAATTAGTGGAATAAATTAGCGAATGCTTGCCCCGCCTGTTGGGGAAGCCGCTGGCAGCCCCTCTTATCAGACCAATTGGCTCCTTTGCTCAATTCACACACCTACCTGGAAACCCACATTCTCAATTCACTAATTGAAGTCACAAACTGCAAATCCATGTTTCCCAATTCACAATTTTGATTCACAAAATATTTCACTCGTCTGCCTGGTCCGGCAATCTTAAGACTAGTAACCGATGTGGAACTGTGTTCACGACGGTAAATTTATCTGGTCCAAAACGCTGCTGCACGCGGCACGCGCCTGCCGGGTTAGAGGAATGTCATCCTTGAAGTTCTTGTCAAAGGTGATCTCCTCAATTTCATGAATAGCAACATTCTGATGGACACTCTCCATGAACTTGTTGATTCTGGGTGTTGTTTACAGAAACAGGACCCATAAGATAATCAACGGCTCCTTCTAGATCAAATCTCCTTGGTGGTTTCTTTTCGCTGATCGGTTCTCATAGGGGAAGAGTCTTGCCATAGTATAGGTCTGCTCGTGGTGGTACAAGTAGGCAGGCCTCTTCGTCCGAGCTCCAGGTTATGGTGTCCCGATTCAGGATAACAAATGAAGATTGTGCGCTCCTTGAAAGAAGGCTATCGTGAAGCTGCTCGGGGTGGGTGGTCTTGATTGCCTCTTGACGAGGAATCTGGTTCGCTTCAGGGAAAAGAGTCAGGTGTCTGATTGTCTGATCGTCTGATTTCTTCTCAGTTTTCTGCTTCTTCGGAGGAGACTTCTTTGCGCGTGAGGTTCTTGTGCTTCTGCTTGCTCACGACGGTTCAATTTCAAGCTCTTCGTCATCGTCTTCATTCTGTGGAACACTGAGAGCAACTGGCGGCGATGGCGCCACAACAGTTGATAAAATGTCCGCGCTTGAGCCGGCAATTGCGCCCGCTTGCGGAAGTTTTTGTCTTGGAGCGGCCGTGGGCGGGCATTGGATGATGTGGCTGATCTAGCAGTCTCTGACATGCGTCTGGCGGGCTCAGCGGTCGTCTGACGGCGGCTCATCTTTCGAAGGTCGTGGTTCGTGCGGCGGAGCTGCTGGATCTGCGGCGATGGGCATAGGCCATGGCAGGGGCTCTGCCCATGTGTTGTGAACTGATGAAAACCATCGTTTCCGGCAGAGGTCAATGGCGCCAACATAGGCAGAGCATTTTCCATACTGTGTGGATGGCACACAGAGAGCTCTCAACCTTTGACAGCCGCTCCACATCTTGACTGGCCGCGCATCAATTGCATTTTCACGAAAAGGTCAACTTCATTGTTTGCAGAAGCTTCTGGGGGCTAACGTGGGTGCTATGCCCAAGCAGTGCCTTCTCCCGGTTTTCGCAAAAGCGGTGACTTTTCCCGGTTTTGTTTGGATCGACTTCCACAAATCCACACTTCCAAGCTTCCACAATTCCAGATTTCCACACGACCACACTTCCATATTTCGAAACTTCCACACTTGCACCGTTGTATTTACTTCCACACTTCCATACTTCTACAATTCCAGCCTTCCACACTTCCACACTTCCACACTTTCACCAAAACCAACCTTAAACCAACCCTAAACCAGCCCTAGACCAGCCCAAAGCCAACCCCAAAACACACCCGAAGCCCGAAGCCAACCCTAACCCTAAAACAACCTCAGCCAACCTGAAACCACAACAAGCCTGGCCCAGCCCTAAACCCTAAACCAGCCCTAAACCAACCCTAAAGCAACCCTAAACCATCCCTAAACCAACCCTAAACAAACTCTCAGCCAACCCTAAACCAACCCTGAGCCAACCCTAAGCCACCCTAAGCAAACCAACCACAAACAACCAACCCTAAACCAACCCTAAGCCAACCCTAAACCAACCCTGAACCAACCCTGAACCAGCCCTGAAACAACTGAACCAACCCTAAACCAACCCCAAACCAACCCTAAACAGCCCTAGACCAGCCCCAAACCAACCCTAACCAGCCCTAAACGCCCGAAACTAAACCAGCCCTAAACCAACCCCAAACCAACCCTAAACAGCCCTAAACCAGCCCTAAACCAACCCTAAAGCAACCCTAAACCATCCCTAAACCAACCCTAAACAAACCCTAAGCCAACCCTAAACCCAACCCTAAACCAACCCTGAACCAATCCTAAACCAACCCTGAACCAACCCTGAACCAGCCCTTGAACCAACCCTAAACCAACCCCAAACCAACCCTAAACAGGCCCGAAACCAACCCCGAAACTAACCAAACAGCCCTAGACCAGCCCGAAACCAACCCTAAACGCCCGAAACTTTTCCAGCCCTAAACCAGCCCTAAACCAACCCCAAACCAACCCTAAACCAACCCTAAGCCAACCCTAAGCCAACCCTAAACCAACCCTAAGCCAACCCTAATCCAACCCTAAACCAAACCAACACTAAATCAGCTCTAATCCAGCCTGCACAAACGCTAAACCACTCTAAACCAACCTTAAAACAATCTGAGTAAACCAACCCTAAAGCAACCCTAAACCCCCGCACCAATCCTCAACCCATTGAGCCAACCCTAGACCACACCCTAAAACAACCCCAAGCCAACCCTAAACCAGCCCGAAACCAACCCTAATCCAGCCGAACCAACTCGAAGCCAACCCTAAACCAACCCTAAGGCTTTGACACTTTGACACTCCCACACTTCCATACTTCCATGTTTGCACACGTCCTACGCTCGCACGCTTCCATCTGTCCATACTTCCATACGTCCAGACTTCCACAGTTCCACAATTCGACACCCACACACATCCACACTTGCCACAGCCGCATTTCCACACTACTAAAAATCCACAGTCCACATGTCCACGTTTGGTATGCTTCCACTTGCACGGTGGAAGAAGTTGGCAGTGTGGAAGTGTGGAAGTAGATACAAGTGTGGAAGTGTGAAAGTGGGGAACTGTGGAAGTGTGGAATCCTGGAAGCGTTGAAGTGTGGAAGAGTGGAAGTAAGTGGACGTGTGTAGTAAACACAACTGGCTCAGGGTTGGTTTAGGGTTGGCATAGGGTTGGTCTAGTGTTGGCTCAGGGTTGGCTCAGGGTTGGCTTAGGGTTGGTTCAGTTTGTTTAGTGTTGCTTTAGGGTTGGTTCAGAGTTGGCTTAGGGCTGGTTTAGGGCTGGTTTAGGGTTGGTTTAGGGTTGGTTGACGGTTGGTTTAGGGTTGGTTTAGGGCTGGTTTAGGGTTTGGTTTAAAGGCTGGTTTAGGGTTGGACCGACCCGACCCGGGCGACCGACCGACCGACTGAGAGACCGACCGACCGAGCCAAAGCCCCAGCACCACGCAGCAAAACGGTCGCGCCATACCTGAAAAAAACAAAAACGCGGGCCCGCTCCCACACTTCGACAAAAGCGTGACACACCGGAAGTGGAAGGGCAGTGGGAGTGTGGCCTGTCGCCGAAACAGACCTGTCGATGACCGTGTGGCCATCGACAAAGGCGTGATATTTCCACATGCCATGTCTGGGAAAGTGGAAGGGCGCAAGTGGAAGTGTGGCCTGTCGCCGAAACAGACCTTTCGATGCGCTACACATTGGTGGAACAAAGTTGAGGGTTACTTTCCACGTTTACATGCTTCCACATTTCCACAGTTCCACGGTGGAAGCATGGAAGTGTGGAGACGTGGAAGATTGGAAGATTAGAAGCGTGGAGGTGTGGGAGTGTCGGAGTGTGGTAAATGTGGAAGTGTGGAAGTGTGGAAATGTGGAAGTGTGGAAGTGTGGAAATGTGAAAGTGTGGAAGTGTGCAAGTGTGGAAGTGTGGAAGTGTGGCAATGTGGAATTGTGGAGATGTGAAAGTGAGGAAAGGTGGCAGTATGGAAATGTAGAAGTGTGGAAGTGTGGAAGTGTGGAAGTGTGGAAATGTGGAAGTGTGGAAATGTGAAAGTGTGGAAATGTGTAAGTGAGGGAGTGTGGAAGTGTGGAAGTGTGGAAATGTGGACATGTGTGTGTGGAAGTGTGGAAGTGTGGAAGAGTGGAAGTGTGCAAATGTGGAAGTGTGGGAGTGTGAAAATGCGTAAGTGTGTAAGTGTGGAAGTGTGGAAATGTGGAAATGTGTATGCGTGGAAGTGTGGAAGTGTGTAAGTGTGGAAGTGTGGAAATGTGGAAGTCGATCCAAACAAAACTGTGAAATGTCACCGCTTTTGCAGAAACCGGGACAAGGCACCGCTAGGGTATGTGGTCCGGGTAACGCCATTGATGGAATTAGAGAGGTGAGAAATGCTCTGTTCACTCCCAGAAGCGAACTGGTAGAGCAAGAGGCAAGGACAAGGAGAAGAGAGAGATAGCATGAAGAAATGAAGAACCCAGATGACATGATATCCCTTCCTATGTCATCTCTTCCTTCTAGTTCTCATGCTCTCTTCTTCCCTTCCCATCGACTAGACAGGGAAAGGGAAGAGTGGAGAGACAGGCCAACTCTTTCTCGTGTAGATGATGCTTGCTTTTTGAACGGGAGATCTTGAACCTTAACAGCGACACTGCGGCTGGTCGTGTTGCACTCCTCGTGAACTGCTCCTTGCGGAGAGCACAGCGGACCAGCTTGCTGCTTTCCAGGTCAAGCCTGTTGACTCTGCAGCGGCTCTGCTAAGAAAAGATCAGCTTCCTGGTGGTAGGACGGAGGCTTGCGTGAAGCTCACGTCCGTTCGTCGAATGTCAGCAGCTCATGCGGTCATCTAAGGTGCGAGCGCGACTAACCAAGGGCAAGCAAACAACGCGGCAAGGCGCCAAACAAAACAATCTTGCGCGCCCACGGACTCGCAAGAGCACAAACAAGCGCAATCTACCGTCGTCCTTGCTCGCGCGTGGGACAGGAACTCCCTGCGCGACTGCGTGCGAACATGCAAAACGGTGGAAAACTCCCGCGCCCTCCCCCGGCGGCCTCATTCTGAAGGAGAGAGCTGAGTCCTGCGGACTGTGTTAGTTCCCACTCAGCATAATCTCAGCAAAGCCTCCGCTCTCCTTCGAAACGGCGGCAAAAAGAGCGGACGCTTGCACGCGCACAGAGCGGGCTTCGCTCCTGAGCGACAAAGGGCGTGGCCAAGCCAAACTCAATTAGCCATAGCAAGGCTGACACGGAGTCGTCCGTGGTCTTTTTCTGCCGCTCCCAGGCCTGAGCAACTCAGAAGCATTGTTCTCAGCTCTGCTGAGACCCTGTTGGTACATGCCAGCGTGTCTTTTTTTAAAGCTTGAAAGCCGCAAAAAGGGTCACCCTCAAAAAAGGCACTTGTTGAAGATGACCATTAAAATCTCTAACGTTGCTGCGTCCGAAGAATACTCCGGC